TTCTCTTGTCTCACTGAAAGCCTACATTAGTGTCCACTGTAGCAGTCCAGCAACACATCTCAGATACTTATAGCATTAACTCCTCCATTTCCTTAGCAATCCTTTAATCCTCCTGAAAATAAATGGGCATGTAAATCCCACATAAATATAGGGAGAGTCTAGTGAATCCAGTTCAGTGATTGAAAGCTCAGGCTGTGGACATGGCCCATGCTGCCACTCAGGCCACGTTAACTCAGATATGCCATTTCGCTTCTCAGTCAGTTTCCTCATTCGGAAAATGGGGCCATGTTGATTCCCAAATCATACTGTGTCATAAGATCCTCCTTCAAACCAGTTAGTTCAGTTCCTGGTTCACAAGTAGTGAGCAAATATCCATTTCCCATAATGTTATTTTGGAACCCAAATTGGCCTGCATTTTACTGCCATTTTTGAAAATTTTATTGGTTTACTCTGTTTTCTCCAATTCAGTGACCCATGACTTTATCACCATCCCTCACCCCCTGCTGTCCTCACTCTTCTTAGATCCCACCTGGCTAAACTGCATCCCTGCTGAATCCATCCATCTGCTTTGTCTACAGGAGACAGCAGAGCGTAAGGCACAAGGGTGCTCTGTCACTCAACACCTGTGCATCTTTAAGTAAACTGCTCATCGCTTCTGTAAAATGAGGATGATGATAATAATGCCGGATGACTCATGGGTATATGATCAAGTTTAAACGAGATGCTACACTTAGACCTGAACTGAGCATAGTAAGCTCTCAATAACTGTTCACTAGGATTCTCTTTATTGTAATCACTCAATGCACGGGCTGATGGAATGAAGTTGGGAAAATTATACACCCGGAACCATGAATACTAGATGGGTCCTTCGGAGAGTCTGGCAACTCTGTTTATCTCCTTGGTGTGTCTTTTCTACACTCTCCTCCCACACCATGTCACACCATCAGCTCTACCTCAAATCTCCTTCCCCCTCAGCTGATGACCTTCCCTCCTGCTATGTGGGGGAAACAGAGGCCACAGGACCATTCCCACTTCCTCTGACCACCATCTGATATGTAACTACCCACACCTGCACTCACTGTCTCTACCTTCTCTACAATTCAGTGGGCAAAGGGCTCTTACTTCCTTCAAAACCCAACCCATCCTTGGGGTCCACATTCCCTCCCCTACGGCTTTTCCAAAGAGTCACCCTGGAATTACCCCTCTTCTCTCTGCATCTTTGGTTCCTCCCTAAATGGCTGCCCCCAATGACCCTCAACTCCTAGTATGCATGCCCTAACTGTGGGTGGAACCCAGGACTCACTTCTAACCAATAGTATAGATGACAGTTTTATTGCTCCTGTGATTATAGTGCATTATATGAGATTCCAGCCTACTAGCAGACAGGTGGTAAGATCTTCCTTGCTGTCTTGATGAAGTAAGAGGCCAAGTCAAGGAAGCCCATGTGACAAAGTACTGTCAATGGAAAGAGGGACTCTAGGAGCTGAACGTGACCATCGGCAAGAAGCTGGGATGCTCAGACCTACAGGTACAAGGGAGTGAATTCTGCTGATAACCTGGGTGAACTCAGAAGGCAGCTCCTCTTTCCTGGTCCAGCCTCATGATGAGAACACAGCCCACCCAACACCTGGACTGCAGCTTGTGCGACTTAGCAAAGACCCAGGGACACCAAGCCTGGACTCCTAACCCGTAGATATCTGTTGTAAGTTTAAAAGTTTATGATACTAAATTACACTGCAATAGAAAACAAATATGCTTGCCCTCTACCAGATAATCCCATCATGCACTAGAGTCTACTATCAAAAATAAAGAATAAATCAAGACCACATGCCCTCCAGATGCTCCACTTCACTCTGCTCTCCTTTCCAGCAAAACTGTAAGAGTTTTCCATGTGTCTCACTGTGTCCTCAACTCCATTCACTGCTCAGCCAATGCCAGCCACATCACTGACTCACATTCTTTTGCCAAAGACACCAACAAGTTCCACATTATCAATTAATTCTGAATGAACATGCCTTCAATCCTTATCTTATTCAATATCCCAGCAGTATTCAGCACCATTTAGCATGCCCCATTTTCAGAACTATTTCTTCTCTTAGCTAACTGGTCTTCACATTCCCCGGTTTTCTGTCATTCATGGTTGCTGCCTTCTCCTCCTACATTCAAACCTGCTGTCTGAGCAGTGCTAAGCCACAGGGTCAGGCTCTGGCTCACCTGTTGCGGTCACTCCCTCTCTAGCCCCAGCTTTAATGAACTCAACATGCTGGTGACTCCCAAAGGTTTCTCTCCAGCCCTGACCTTTCCCTTTTGCTCGACATCCTATAGCTATAGAAATTGCAGTTTCCACTTGGATGTGTAACTGTCATCTCAGATATCACATGTCCAAAATATGACTCTGTTCCCTCCCCGAAATCTGTTGTTCTCCCAGTTTTCCCAACTGCAACAAATGGCACATCTAACCAACCTTCACACGGGGGCCTCACCATGGATTCTCTTCCCTCCCCCCCCCCCCTTACATCAGCAAGTTCTTGTAGGTCAATTGTCACAGTAGATTCTGACTCTGCTCACTCCCCTCTAATTCCCTCCTGTTAACCTAGAGAACACTGCCCTTACCTGTCTTGGACTGAGCACCTAGCTGGCCTCCTGCTTCTCCCTGCTGTCCACTGTTCTCCATACTGCATGGCCTTTTAAAAACACGAGCAACCTTGTGTGCCTTTACTGTTTAAAACTTTCCAAAGTCTTTTCACTGTACTTTCAAAAGGCCCACCGGGTTCTATGTTGCTGGCCCTGACCTGCCTCCTTGGTATATCTCCAACCTACCAAGTCCCAGTCACACTCACCTTTTCCTCCTTCCCACATCCAGACTTTTGCAATTGTTATTCTTTCTTTCTGGAAACATCTTCCTTTCAAGCTGCATGGCTTGGATCTCAGATCAAACATGTCCCCCCCGGGGAGGTCTCCCCCATAGCAGCACTGTCTTCCTCCTAGACTCTTGATTCCACCATTACTGTTTCCCTTTCATCGTGTATCACAATCTCAGGCACCCATGCTTATCTACCTGCTGGTTTGACTGTTGCTATGACTACTCTCACCAGATGTGAGTATATGGAAGGTGCTTACTTCTGTGTTTTAGAATAGCACCTGGCACATAATAGGTGCTCAATAAATATTTGAATAAATGAGTGCATATATATGTATATATGTATATATGTATATATGATGTGCACATTGTTATATGCATTTATAATGAAATGTCCTGTTACATTCCATTAGAAAAATCTCTTCAGATTCAATGTCAAAATGGCTGAAAAGCAGTAAAACTTACATACAAATTATACCTCAAACTACTCAATATATACATTTCTGAAAAGTGGGCAAGCCAAAACATTATAAAATAAAACCCATTTTGAAAGTATGTAACATAAATTTGTTAGGAGATGTGAAAAATCTTTCTTGATAATGTTAAATGATCACACCCTAGTTATTCTGTTTTTATAGATTTGATTTCTCCCCTACATTGGGTTTGCTTGGGTCACAGAGCATAAATTATAATTAATTTTTAATCACAAATTGTTCAAGCACTGTTCAAAGTACAAGGAATATTTTCACTATTTCTGGACAAAAATTCCAAAGATTCATGTCTCCTATCTCTCGATGTCACTGACACCATATGACAGTTCCAAACCCAGCTATATCCCACAGCCATCCAATGCAGGCAGGCTTTTTAACAGGCCATGGTAATGAGTGTGGTCATGGCCTGGTGTTCAACAAGTAACTGTCAAAACTATCTTCTCAAATGACTACTTGCTGAAAACTTCTCATTCCCAGAGCAGATACTTCCAGGGTGGTCTAGGAAAGAAATCTGTGACCATACCTACTCTGAGGCTCTTCTAAATGCTAGTATTTAAAGTTTCTTTGGAACTACAATTTCATGCTTTGAAGATGTGACTTTTATGCAAGCTTCAGGAAAAAAAATTAAGTAGCTATTAAACTCAATTGTTTATGTATTTTCCCTTGCTAATATACCCAAATCTTCTGAAAACTCCAGTAAGCAGTTCATGCAGTTGACTTTAAGATCCACTGTTGAGAAAAAGCACTCCCTCCCTCCTTACCACTTGCTGCCCTCAAAACTTCTTAGCAACACACACTGTGCACGAACCGCGGCCTGGTTTGCCTTGTCCAATCGCATGCCTGCAAGCCCAGCCAGTCAGTTGTGTAATAATAAACCCCTTATCTCCTGAAGATACAGAATCCGAACGATGTCGGTGATTCAGTGCACAGGGACTTCGCTGGAATCCTCAGCACACACTCAAGTTTATTTTCAATGCCAAATCCACCCCACCCTATCCCCCAATTTTCTCAATTTCCTCCTTTTGACTCATTTGCAATTTTGAGGAGAGAAAAAAAGCCAAAATGCTAAACGATGTCAAGTTTAAACAGGGGAGGGCAGGGGCACTGCCAACACTGCCAGCAAAATTCATGCAGAAACCACCGGCTTGGCCGTGCCTGCACTGGGCTCACTGGTTCCCTCCCGGTGCCTGCGATGGAAACTCCGCAACAATTGTTCTGGGATGGAGAGGGGCTGAGATGGACAGGACAAGCTGCCTGCTGGTATCAATAAACCGGACTAGCCCTCAAATCCAGGACAGGGGACACTCCTGCTTCCCGGATGTCTCACCCCTCCCGTCTCGCCTAACCGGTGCAAACCCATGCCTACCTCGTCCCAGCTCCAACTTCCCGACCTCACGGGGGAAAGTGGCCTTTTCCTGCACCCACAAGAGACCCGGCCTTTGAGGATGGGGCAGCGGCCGTGCTCAAAGGGCCCGGTACGCGCCTGGGGCCGGGCCGAGCAAACCCGGACCCCGCGCGGCTCGCGCGCCTGACACACCCCTCCCCCGCCCCTCCCCCGGCCGTTCCCTCCGGAGCCCTCGGCCCCTCCCGGGCCGTCCTTTCCCTCGCCCGGGCCATCCCGGTCCGCCAGTCCCTCGCCCCGCACGCACCTTCAACGCACCCCGGGCCGGGCCCCTGGAGACCGCGCGGCCAGGGCCAAGGGGCAGGAAGCGCTCCTCGCCCTCGTCGTCGTCCTCGTCGCCGTCCACCACCTCGATGACCCCCTCCTCGTCGTCCTCCTCGTAGTCGTCATCGTCCTCCTCCGCGCCCCCTCGGGGCTTCTCCGGCACCCGCCCCAGACTCCGCCGCCGTCGGCTCGCGCCCTCCTCGTCTTCGTCCTCCTCGCCCAGCAGCAGCAGCACGGAGGACGCGAGCGCCCCGGAGGCCCGAGCGAGACCGGCCCCAGCACTCCGCGGCGGCGGCGGGGGCAGCGGCGGCCTCCCGATCTCGGGCGCCGCGCCCTGGGGCTGCAGCGCGGGGCCCCCGCGGCGGCCGCCCAGGCTGGAGCGCTTGGCCAGGCGGCGCGCCTGCATGCCTGCCTCCGAGCCGTCCCTCCCCTCCCTCCCTCCCTCCCGCGGTGGCCGCTCCTCCCGCGGTCGCCGGGAAGCGCGCGGCCCGGGCTGCGGGGCGGCGGCGTGGCTACGGCGGGATCGGGGTGGGTGTGAGCGAGCCGCGCGCTGCCGCCTCCAACGCCGCCGCTGCCCGGGAGCCGCAGGCCGAGCTGCGCCCCATGCGGCCGGTGGCCGGGCCCGCGCCTCTGGGGCCTAGAGCGGCCGCCCGGGCGCGAGCAGTCGGCGCCGCTACCACAGCGCCCGCCCGCCGCCCTCCTCGCCAGCCCTCAGCCCCCGAGTCGGCAAAACCCGGACTGGACTCTCCCCGACCCGCGTTTTCCAGATCCGGGGCTTACGAGAGGCCGGGACGACGCCGGCTGCCTCCCCCAGCCAGAGCCGGCGACTCCCTGTGGACGGAGGCTCTCACACCGCTGCTGCTTGGGTTGTCAGTCAAAGTAAGACTCTGAAGGAAGAAATTTGCCCCCGCAAGTTAATTTGAATGGTCTCTGCGTGGCCGCAGCTCCTGAGCTTCTGTGCTATCAGGGAAGGCGCTCCCACAGGAAATTTGGGGTCCCTAAGATGAGTCACCAGACTCTTCTGGATTATTGAAACGCATTCATGGCATTGCCTGCCCACCTGGCCGTCTCTGAGTGCACCCTTCTAGGCCCTGCCTGTCAAGCAATCTGGGCCCGTGTGAAGTCTTTACTTTCAGTTTTTATTTCTGAATTCCTACCTGGAGTGCTTGGTTACAGTGGCTACATGCCAAGAAGATTTCTGCTTGCTGACAGGGCCTTTGGAGAAAGAAACAGGATGGCCTGTTCCAGACTGCTTGAATTTATTAAAAAAAAAAATAGTATGAAATGAGATCAAGTCTGGAAACCAATAATCCATTTGCTGTATAACTAATGGCACTGTCATTTTCTGAGAATTTTTAGGTGTGACACAGAAAAATCACTGGCTACTGTATGAGGTTGGCCATGCCCTTTACACTCACACCACGTGCCAAATTCCACCTCTGTAGGTGAGGCCTGGGGGGACACCTAACTTACTCAGTACTCTGGCAGGCACCTCCAGGAAGATGGCCTCACCGTCAGCTTCCTTTCCCCGTAATTACTATTGGATACCTAACAACACTACCCTGTGAGACACTTGAAGGAGCTCATTAAATGCTTGCTTATGGTGTTTTTCAATTGTTGAATGGGGATGATGACAAGGATTATAAAATGAACTTGTTCTCCTTGAATCAGATGGGCTTCCTGAAACACCTATCTCAGGTAATGACATTCTCATTATAACCATTCAGGCCCAAAATAGCAGGATCATTTTTAACTGCCTTCTGTCTGGTATCCCCAGAGGCAGTTGTCCACTGGTAGGATCCACTGTTCTCTCTGAAATGCCTCTGGCATCCACTCCTTTCCTTCCATTCCTAAAACTCTTAGTGTTTATGGCTACTATGTGAAAGTTTCCAACCAGCTCTCTCCACACCTTTCTTCAACCACACACCCTCCTCTCCCCCCCCCCGCCCCCACATAACAGCACCAGATTCATCTTTCCAGACCCTTCAGATCATGGTATTTTCTTGTCGAACTCTTCGCTTGTAAATATTTCATTTAAGACTTCAGAAAGTGAGAAGGTTGAGCATTTGAAGAGATGGGCGTGTAACAGCAAGGGCCAACCAAGAAGTGAACTAATCAGATCCACGAGTGCTTACAAAGAACAGAGAAGGGCCACTGAGTTTTCATCTCACTTGCAAGTAATTTGCCTTGGTCGACTTGGGAGATGATTTTAGGGACAGGCAGCGGGGCCCTTCTCTGACCAGAAGAATAAAAGATCAGGGCCAGGGCTTGGCTGACAGGTGCAGTGGTGAAGGAAGATGAAGACGTGAGGGAAATGGGGAAGTACCTGGATTCCAATCCTCACTCTGAAACTTACCAGCTGTATGTACTTACTCCTCCTCTCTCAGTGCCTCATTTTCCTCATCTGTCAAATCGAGATAACAGCAGTCCCTATATAATAGTCAACTTGTTTTGGAGGATAATAAGTCATCCTACAGATATGTGTAATATGTGTAATCAGCTTAGAAAAGGAGCTGGTACAGGAAGGCACATTAGAGTCAATGTGTTGATAGCAATACACAAACAAAGTAGCTTGGGATGCTGTTGAAGAACAACAAGTTGACTCTCTTTTAAGGAAGCTCAGAACAGTCAATAACTAGCAACAATGTGCTTTTAAAACCAGACTACATTTTATCAAGAGGCTGTGGTCTGGCCAAGGATAAAGCTTTTTGTGTCTGAAATTGCCATAGATAAAAGAAAGTAAGCGTGTTCCTGAAAACTGACAGAACAAACAAGATTAAGTGAGTCATGGTTTGTATTTGTGGTTTAGTGGAAAGTGTTCTAATTTACACCACTGTTCTTTCTTTCAAAATTCCTGTACAGGCTTTGAAATCAGTTGTTCTCTTTCTCAGGCCACCTCAGCAGAGCCCAGGCATATCCCCATTTCCTGGCCACACTGGGCCTGAGAGGCTGCCCTCTGAGAAGGAGAGAGACTGGCCTTGTTATTGGGACCATTAAGTGGAGGCAAATGTCACAGAAGAGGTTGGCGGAGCTGGGCTGTGAGGGATGAGAAGGATCCAGATGGGCAGGGACATGCAGGCCATTTAAGAACAATCTCATGATATTAGGGGACATCAGTGAGAAGTAAAATCAAATGACATAATTAATTCACCAGGAATCAAGAAATATCTAATGACAGAGGCTCATGACACACTGCACTCATGATGTGGGCTTTGAAGTCAAGTAATGTCTCATGATGTCAAGCAAGTGCTGAGCAGTCATTGCTCCTTCCTTCCCTCAATGCTCCCTGAACATGGTTACTTCCAAAACCGGGCATACTTGCCCCTAGGACCAGGCACCCTCTCCATCACCTGGCGGTCCAATTTAACAAATCATCACTGAAAAAGTAAAGCAAAGGAAGGGCTAGAAAGAGCTGTGGGTTTAATATTTAGAAAATGCTATATTGAAGACCTATTTAATATACTTGATTTATTATTTATTATTACATTTATTTATCATAATTATTATAATTATTTATTATACTTTACTTATAACTACTTACAATTATACATATTATACACTTATTTTCTATGATATTTATTTATATTTTGACATTCAATATCAATAAATATATTAAAACAAACATAAGAAAAGTAGGACTTGTAATGTGAAATTTGAATGTACACTTGCAGCAGCGGCCAAGGCAATAGACTTTCATCTCCCTCCCTTGGTGGGTGGGGTCTGTTTTCCTCTTTATCCTGCATGCTTTTTTTTTTTTTAAATTTATTTAGTTATTTTTCAAGTACAGTGGGTTTTTTTGTCAATTTCTCCCATCCCAGCCCCCCCACACCCCATCTCCCCCCTCCCTCCCATCCCCCCCCACAGTCCTCATCCCTGTGTCTTTCATACTTGTTCTTCAAAATCCCTCCCCATTTTTCCCCTTAAATTCCCTTCCCTCTCCCCTCTGGTCGCTGCCCACTTGTTCTCTATTTTAGTGTTTTTGTTTTTATTCTATTTGTTTGTTTATTTTGTTATTTAGCTTCCTGTTAAAGGTGAGATCATATGGTATTTGTCCTTCAATGCCTGGCCTATTTCACTCAGTATAATGCTTTCCAGTTCCATCCATGTTGTTGCAAAGGGTAGTAGCTCCTTCTTTCTCTCTGCTGCATAGAATTCCATTGTGTATATGTACCACAATTTTTTGATCCATTCATTTACTGATGGGCACCTAGGTTGCTTCCAACTTTGGCTATTGTAAATTGTGCTGCTATGAACATTGTGGTGCATAGGTTCTTTGAAATTGATGTTTTAGGATTCTTGGGATATAATCCTAGCAGCGGAATTGCTGGGTCAAAAGGCAGGTTGATTTTTATTTTTCTGAGAAAATTCCATACTGTTTTCCATAATGGTTGTACCAGTCTGCAATCCCACCAACAGTGAACTAAGGACCCCTTTTCCCCACAACGTCTCCAACATTTGTTGTTTGTTGCTTTGTTTATGATAGCCATCCTGACTGGTGTAAAGTGGTATCTCATTGTGGTTTTAATTTGCATCTCTCTGATAGCTAATGATATTGAGCATCTCTTCATGTGTCTCTGGATATTCTGTATGTCCTCTTTGGAGAAGTGTCTATTCAAGTCCTTTTCCCATTTTTTAATTGGGTTCGATGTCTTCCTAGAGTGGAGTCCTGTAAGTTCTTTGTATATTTTGGAGATTAAACCTTTGTCTGAGGTATCATTGGCAAATATGTTTTCTCATACAGTTGGTTGTCTTTTTAATTTAATACTACAGCAATCAGGCAGGAAAAGTAAATAAAACAGCGATCCTGCATGCTTTGACTGAATTGTCTGTGAGGTCCTGAGGAGGCCGAGAACGGACTTTGGAGTAAGTTCTACTGCACAACCCCAGAGCCACTGGCTGCCTTGGCCTGGTTTCTCCTGATCTGAGATGACTCTTAAAACTTTGAGTACTGAGAAATTGTACCAAAAGAAAAAAATCAGGCTCAATTTGATCTTTTGTTCAAATTTTTAAAACTCAAATTCAGGAAAATAGTAACACATCGCCCAAATCGTGCGATGTAACTGTGACCAGTGCAGAGATACAACAACCTTCCAACCAACAGCAACAGCTCTTTGATGTCCTTAAGAACCTTAAGTAGCCGATTCTTGGAGAGCGGCATGTCCTTTTAAAAATTATTTTCAAACTGAAAGTAAAATTTTGCCCTTTAAATAGGTTATAAAGGTTATGATAGGTTAGTTTTTCCACACCTCTGGAAAACTTAAAAATGACTTCAGAAGATGACTGTCATCCAACTGCATGGAAAATAGAGTAAGGTTAAGAGAATCATCTCTTACAACTGTCAGGCTGAACGCCTGCCTAAGTCAAGCATGAACCCCACCAGATAAATGTTTCTTCCACGATCAATTAACCTCAACTCTCTTTAACAACATAGCGTACTTGCAAT